ATGAACCTGAAAAAACATTTCCCTCTCTCTCTCTCCTGCTGCATAAATGAAATCCCCGTCCTCTCGCTGCGCTCTGCCAAGGTTCCCATTTTGCTGGCTGTTTCCAGCATGCGGGGTGCGGGGTTGGATTGCTTTGCGAATGAGCCGGTGAGTTGCCCTGGCTCTGCCCCACTGCTTAGTGCTGCGGTCGGGGTGGATTTGGGCCACCCCATCGAGGACTGGCTGGGTTACGGTGCTGGGGCAGAAAGGTGACAGCACCGATTGCCCCTTCTTTTCCAAACTGTGCTTCCTTTTCTCCCCTCTCCCTGCCCATCGGTGCCCAAACGATGGCCTGAGGCTGGGTCCCGCTGACCGCTGTCTCCTTTGCTTTTCCAGGCAAATAAGCTGAGAACCAAAACGCTGCGCAACACGCTGAACCCCACCTGGAACGAGACGCTCACCTACTACGGCATCACCGATGAGGACATGATCCGCAAGACCCTACGGTAGGGCTGCGGCCGGGTGATCAGGGTACTGAGCCCAGCACCGGGGTGGGGGACACGTGTCTCTTCCCGTCCCTTTGGGGCCGCTCCAGGCATCTTTCCCCATCCCAGTGACAATTTCCCGGGGGGCTCACAGGGACCCCCATGCCCCAGCCCCACAGGACGGTCCTGGCAGCTGCTCGTGGCAGAGTTATTACCCACCAAAACCTATAATGTGTGTGCGTGCCCTGCACACATCCATCACCCCACGGTGACCGATGCTTGATTTACAGGGAGCCTGGGCTGGAATAGCCGGTGAGGAGCATGGTCCTGCTTTGTCATTAACTTCATAACTCACTCGCTGGGCTCCTGCCTGCAGAGGTGCTGTTATTTGGTTTTAACCTCTTCATACCCAGCTCTCACAGGCACGTGTTAAGGCTTTGCAGTCATGTCTTGCTGAGAAAATCTCCCCGGGAAAGCTCTGGGCCCTTTTTGAGGCTGAGCTTTTTGGAAGAAAGCTGGAGGCATCTGTGAATTATTGTCAGACTAAATGAAGAGCATTTGTATGCATTTATTCTATTCTCTTGGTTTGGTTCAGTCTCTGCACATTCAGCATCTCCTGGCAGCATCTCCCAGCGGCTGGGAGTTGTTGTGTGGGGCTGGAGGTGGGCAGGGGCAGCGCGGTGGGGCTGCGCGGGCTTGGAAGTGCTGCTTTGTGGGGTCAGACCCCTGTGAATGCAAAGGTTTTCATGTCTTGGCCACCGTCCCACCTGGGTGAGGGCAGGGGCTGACCCGGAGCCCACGGACGGATGCTGCCCAGGGAGGGTGCTGGGCGACCTCGGCCACTCCATCACTGCTCTGGTCTGGGACTGATGCGCAGGAGGATTTGCTGTAATATCTGCTGTCAAACAAAGGAGGATTTTGCATCCTACTCCGAGGACTCGGGGCTTTGTGAGCTCCGTGGCTGGAATCTCACCTTCCTTATTTGCAGGTACCCTGGGAGTTTATTATTTTCCCCATGACAAGAGCTCAAAGCTGCCTTGTAAAAGGTCCTGCTCAGAGGTGAATTTGGGCAGAGCCCACCTGTTGTCTGCAATGTGCATAGAGATGAGAAATTTAGCGCCGTGGATTATTATTTCACATGGAAAATATTAGTCATGCTGAAAGTGCTGCAGGCTTGTCGGGCTGGAAAGCCTCTGGTTTATTATTATTATTGGTGGGTATTTTTTTTTATTTTTTCACTGCAGGCTTTGAAGTTTTCAACCTCTTCAAGCGTGGAAATCGGTTTGTAGAGAGATGTTCAGCTGAGTTGTTTGCTGAAATGTGCCAGGGAGCAGAAGGGCTCGACCCCCACCTTTTCGGTGCCCCGGTAGCTGCTTCTCCCCAGGGAAGGGCTGTGCTCGCCTGCTCCGGGGGGCAGCAGGGATGCTCAAAGGCAGGGAGGACACACAGAAACATGTGCGTGGGCTGGCCTGGATTCCCCCTTCTCCCCACAGAAATCCCTTGTTAGCACGTCCCCGCTCCTGCCTGGGTGCTGCGGGTGCTTCTTGCGGAGCCAAGTGTGGCCGTGGGCTCCCGCAGGGCTCAGCACACGGGGCTCCTCGTGCCCCCTCCAAAGCTAAATGCCATGCACGGACCCCATACCCACAGTGGTGCACCCCTTGCTCCGTGGGGGGATGTGGCTGAACAGAGACAGCGTTTCTGTCTTGGGAGCTCCACGGGGAGCTCAGGAGATTGCTGGCAAGGTCCGTTAATGACCAATTACACAAAGTAGCTTCAAAGGGCACCTTTGCAGCGAGGCGAGGGAAGCCTCGGGCTCACCTGCGGTGCGGTTGCCCTGTTTGAGTTCCCAGCCGGGCGCTCTGCAGGGGGATGAAACTCCCTGTGAAGCCTTCTCTGCTCATGAAGGAGCAGCAACCCCGGGGGGTTTGGCATCTCCTCATGCCACCAGAGCCATCCATCTCGCACCTTTGCACCCGTCAGAGCTGCCTCTTTGCAGGGCGGTTCCCAGGCTGGGGCACACTGGGCTCTCCAGCGCTCTCCAGGAGCATCGCACTTTGCAGCTGAGGTTTCCTTTCCCGTGGCCAGCCCCGGTGAATTAGGTGATAATTAAGGATCACAATCCTCTCCGCATGGAGAGGAATATCCAAGTGCAATTCTGACTCGTTGGCGTTTGCAGCTAGCCAATGGGGGTTGCTGGAGCCTGTCCTCAAGGAGATGGTGAGCCCCGTGGTGACGTTGCCACGAGGGCAGTCAGTGTCCGGGAGAGCCATGTGAGCCATGCGAATCCCCACCTCGCCTCCAGGGATAGCGCTCGGGACTGGCACCGCATCCAGAGGGCTCTGTCCTGCGGGATTCAGCACAGCCTGGTCCCTGCCAGCAGTGTGGCGGCACGGGAGCCCCCAGCCCCACCGCCCCAGCATTCATGAGCGTCAAGGTTTGGGGACCTCAGCCGCACCCGTCCCTGTGTGCCGGCAGGCAGACCCTGCACAGGGCAGAAAGGAGAATTGTATCCTTGGTGTTACCGTGGCAATTGGCATGCCAAAGATGACCTAAAAGCCAGAGAACTCTGGGCTGGATGTTACGGTTTTTTAGAGGGGCTCAGGTGGCTCTGCCGCCTCCCTGGGAAGGCTGTGCAAGCAGAAAAGTGGAAAAGTTTGTGAAGTGGGTGCTGTAGGGCTGGGGCTTGTGGCTTTGGTTTTGTCTGGAAACAACTCCGGAGTCCGAAGAATTCAAGAAACAAACTTTTGGGTGAAGAAGGTTTCCCAGCTGGCACCTCTGCCACAGGGCTGTGGCCTGTCGTGTGGGCCATCTCCTCCCCTGGCTGTGGTCGGTCTTCCCAGGGGTTTTGCAGCCTCTTCTCTTGTGTGGATCCCAACAAATTTTCTAGTCAGGACTCTGATCCTTTTTAAAGACATCCCACACCTAGATGGGTGTGTAAAGGTTTAAACATTTCTTAGTCCCATCTCCAAAACCAGCATACTGCCGGGTGGGCGCTGGCGCACCTTTGGTGGCCCCATGTCTTTCCCTGTGCCCGGGGCTTTTTCCTGTGCCGAGCTTCAGCCGCCGGCACAAATGGCCATCACGGCGGCAGCGGCCAGCCTGCCCCCAGGCGCTGGGCATGTGCTCAGCTGCTATGCCCAACGGGTTTGGCAGAATTTCAGGTGGGAACTCAAACTCTTGCCTATGGCCCAGGGAATTCCTCTGCTAAAACAAAGCTGCTGAGAACCGTGGCTCCATTTCTTATCTTGCATGGGGGAGCCAGAGCCTAAAATTCAAGTGCTCTTCATTTTCCTTAGTACCAATTCCCCAGCCCCCTTTTTTTCTTATCTCCATCTTCACAGTTGAAGATATTGGCAAAGGAGATTTTATTTATCCCGAGGCAGGTTTAGATGAGATGATCAGATGAGATGGTCTTGCAAACCAGCCGCAAGATAGAAAAATCCATCTTTTATTTGAATTCCTTGCTTGGATTTTCTTCTTTTCAAGCACTGGATATTTAATCGACTAGAAGGATGCAAGGCTGGGAAATGTTGCACCTCCTCATTTTACATACCTGCTGAACTGTGTCCTTGCTGCCCGGCTGGGGAGGGATCTTTGGTTTATATGAGAAGGGATGAATGGGCTGGGGTCCCTGGCAGCTGGGGCTCACTGAGGACTTTTTATTTTGGTGTGGATTGAGCCGTTTCTCCTCTATGAGCCTCTCCATAACGTCAGTGGCAATGGCTCTTCACCCTCCCAGTGCTGCTTCCCGCAGGAAGCCTCTCCTGTGCCATGTATTGTCCTGCCTTTGGTGCTTCACTTTGCTTGCCTGTCATGTCTGCAAAATATCTCCTTCTCTGCCAGGAAAAGCCAGCTTCAAAGCTGGGGGGACACTGGCTTTCCTTGTGCTAATCGGGCGAGGCTCCTGCAAGGCGGCTGTGGTAGTTGAAAGAGCATGAGTGATGCTCTCCTCGGTCTGGGAGGTGCTTGTTCCCCCGCTGCCTCCTTGGTGCTAAGATTCACGGAGGGGCAGGGAACGCGGTTGCAAAGTCTCTTTAATGTAAAAATATCGGTGGAGATCAAAGCTGCCGTCAGCCTTCGCCTCCCTGCTGCCTGGAGAGTGTGTGATGCAGCGGCAAAGCTGGAAAAGCACCCAGAAATCTTCCCTGCCCACCTGGGCTCTTGGTGGGATGTGTCCAGCACGGTGGGTTGGTCTTGGCATGGGGCACTCCGCTGGTGCCAGCAGCCCTCCTAGGGGGAGGAGTGGCATTTGCTGTGTGGCAGGGGCCAGAGTAGGGGCATCCTCTGCCTCCTGGAGAGCAGAGTAACGGAGCCCCTCTTGCCAGAGCCCCTCAGCCCCACGCTGTGCCCTGACAGGCGGTTCCTCGTCCCCGTGTGGGCTCGTCCGAGCTGGTCAAGTGATTTTTGCTGTGACGGATCCAAGCCCCGGGAGCCGTTCTTGTTTTCACCTCCCCAAGCAGGGCCACCCCCAAGGGAGAAGGAGAGGTGAAGGCAGCCCAGCTAATTGCGCTGGCAAGCAGGATTTTGTTAATGAATCAACCCCCTCAAAAAACACCAGATACTTCAGATTTCATGAAACGCAGCAGGTGGGAGGATCTTGAAAGGTCTCATCCATTCATTGAATTAAATATCCTTGAGTCTAGCCCAAGGCTTAATAGCAATGAAACCACCCACCATCCTGAGAGAAGGCAAATTCAGAGCCACTTGAAAGACGCTGGACTCGGACGGCTGGGCCTGGGGACGGGTTCCCTGCCAGCACCAGGGGTAAATCCCACCCTGCAGTCCCAGCTCCCAGACCCCGTCTGCGGGCACCACTGCTCCCCGTCTGCGGTCTGAGCGTGGCCGTGCCGCAGCAGCTCAGTCTCCGGTGGTGGGAAGTTGGGGTGCATGATGGGGGGAGGCAGAGAGATGCTGCAGGGGAAATTGGAATAGGCAGAATACAATCGCCTACATTTAAATAATACATGTAATATGCAATAAATAGATTGTATTCATAATAAATACCAGAGCTAGCCAGATATTGGATACAATTATTCATATCCAGATATATTGGCGAAGTGATGCATTATTCATATGATACTCAGCTAGCCCACGAATGCCAGGAATTCTTTGTTTAATCATGTGTTTGACAAACATCATGACTCATTAAATATATTATTCAGAAAATAGTATTTGATCAGGTCTAATAGGCATACTGCAGACACTTAGAGATTTGGGGTCCCAAATTGCTTTACTCCAGAAGCACTGAATGAGGTTTGCTCCAGCACCGCAGGCACGCTCATCATTTCATCTAACTTTTACTGTGGTTTCTGTGCTCGGACTTTGAGGTATTTGGTGATGGAGCCCAGCACTGAATCCTCCTTTTGGTTTTAGGAGAGCTGGACAGTCCCAGGGTGCCACCTTTTTCTGTTTTCTCTCCTTTCCAGGCTTTGTCTGTCCTTAAGCCAAGCAGGCGTCACCCGCGCATCGGCTTCTCCATCAAGAGCTTCCCAAGTTGCTATAGGGACCATAAGGGATCTTAGATACAGGAGATGCGTCTTCCGGCTCTACTGCCTATTGCGTGCATGTGCATTGTGGAAAAGGGTCCTCGTTGACCCCCGTTCTCTCCTTTCCATGACGGGAAAGAGGCCCAAGGAACGTGTGTGCGAGCAGAAGTCGTGAGTCAGCGGAGCGGGGTTGCTTGAGCTGTGCCGTGAGTCAGGACTGTAACCCAGGAGCCCGGGCTGAGTAGGAGGGAGAGTAAGTTTAATGAGCAGTGATTGTTCACTTGCTGCTTAGTTTTCTTCCAAGGTGGTTTTCACAGCCCTTAACTTAAAGATCAGGACCCCTCAGTGGAAGCTGTCAAATCAAAAGCTGAGCTCGAGGATCGGGGTTTAATATAGAGAGACGAGGGAGGGGTGATGCTCCAGTAAAGGGCTCGGGGTGGCAGGTGAACGTGGTTGCCAGAGGCATCTCTTGCTGTTTGTCATGGAGCTGATTTTCTAACCCAAGGCATAAAAATTCCATCACATTGATTTCTCGTAATAAAATTCAAGCTGGTGTAATTGCGTTATGGCTGTTTCCAAAGGGAGGGCCGGGGCCGGAGCTGCCGGCTCATCTGACTCACGCTCGCTGCCTTCGCTTATGGGGCCGGGGCACTGCCAGTCTGGCTGAGTTAAAAATACTGTCCCAGTGAAGACGAACTGCAGCCTGCAAGAGGGACTGGGGTTCAGGGGCTGAGTCCTAGGGACTGGGAGGGCTGACATGAAACTCTGCGTCTGAATCGCCTCTGGTCATCACACACAGATGGGCACAAAATGTGGGGCCCCACCTGAGAAGTGGCCAGAGGTGCCAGAGGGCAAATGGGACTGGGAGAGACCTGGAGGTGTCTCCCTCGCCATCCTGCTGCTCAGAGACAGTGGCAGTTCCCAGGTCTTACAGGTGTGCCAAAAACTGCCTCCCAGGGGACAGTACAAACATTCTATCTAGCCTGGGACATCAGTGGGGACAAGGATGGCCATGGTCCCGGTGCTGTGCCAGACTGGGCTGCCTGCATCACACAGCACCTGAGGCTCTGCCTGATGCACTGTCAGTCCCGTGGGACAAAGGGGACGTGCGCACTGTGACACGGTGGCAGGCTGGGGCTTGTGGTCCCAGTGGCAGTGCCTCCCAGGGGACAGTACAAACATTCTATCTAGCCTGGGACATCAGTGGGGACAAGGATGGCCATGGTCCCGGTGCTGTGCCAGACTGGGCTGCCTGCATCACACAGCACCTGAGGCTCTGCCTGATGCACTGTCAGTCCCATGGGACAAAGGGGACGTGCGCACTGTGACACGGTGGCAGGCTGGGGCTTGTGGTCCCGGTGGCAGTGCCATGCTGGGTCATCCCAGGCAGCCCTGCCACCACCACTGGAGTTTTCCAGCCATTCCCTTCCAGGGCTTCCACCCGTCCCGGGTGGTTCTGGGGCTTCACAGCAGGTAGGACGTTGCATTCGGTATCTTGTTGTGTGTCTGGGGCGCATCTAGACATTGTCGGGGGAAGATCTTGTTACTCGTGTTCTTAAGAGGTAAAACCGTCACCAAACCCTGCCTCCCCCGGGTGTGCAGGAGACGGCACCGCTCTGCAATTGCCGGCTGTAAAAATAGACCCCTGCCTGGCAGCTCCCGGGGGGGACCACGCTCCTCTCCTCCAGCTCGGCTTTCCTAACTCCGCGCGCGCTTTCCCTCCCCAGAGCTTTGGCCAGATGGGTGTGGGGTTGTGCATGCCTGGCAAGTGCCGCTTCTTGTCTGGAGCTGCTGCTGCTCCTTTTTCGGTTTTGTTCGTTAAAAGAGAGGCGAGAGGGAGAAAGGAAATAGGAAATCTTGTGCCTGCATTTGAGATTCTCTTTGAGGATTTTACTGTTGTGGTGGAGTGTTTTTTTCCACGGGTATCTATAGTAACGCTGCATCCAGCTATGGTTTTCTGGAGAGCAGCATTCCCTGTCTTCCCGCTTGTATTATTTTTTTCCAAACTCCCTTCCTCTGCCACTCCCCAGCCCTGATGGTCCTTGTGCCGTGCGACTGAGCCATGCCCCGCGCTCCCTCGCCGCCTTGTTACTCACTGGTGAGCGTAAGGGTGGTCAAACAATCCACGGATAAACCATCCACAGATAAACCGTCCAGGCGCCGTGTTGGCCAGAGGTGTGGTGTGCGATTAGTTACTCTGAGGTGGGGTCGCAGGGCCCTGATTATCTTTAATTACTTTTACCCCCTCGTGAATAGGTTCTGTTTGTGGAAACGCAGCAAGGCGGAGCGCGGTCCCTGGAAGTAGAGGTGTGTCGGAGGTTTCGCCCAAACCAGGACAAGGTGCCACCCATGAGAAATGGCAACCGATGGGGGGTGGTGAAAGAGAGGAAAAATCAGGCAGCAAAAGGACAAGAAGACACTGTGGGAAAATTTAAAAAAGGGGAGAGGGGAATGGAAGGGAAATGCCTTTCCTTTATGGATGGGAAGCCCAGCCGGTCACTGCGTGGCTCCAATGGGGGTGTGGGATGTTCCCTTCGGAGGGGGATGGGATAGCTTTCCCTGTCCCCAGCTCCAGGCAGTGCTTCTTGGGGCAGCTGCCTCGAAAGGCACACACCACCCTCCTGGGCCCCTCTCTCTAGGATTTTGGGACCTGCAAGCGGAGGCTCCGTGCAAGCGCTAACTTTGCTCTTCTGTCGTCTCTCCTGACGCCCGGAACGGGCTGGGAAGCAGCAGAGAAATGACTCATTAGCTGCCAGCTCAGGGAAAGGCATTTATAGCTTTCGCACAGAAAGCAGCCTTCGCTCAGCATCGCCGTCACTGCCCTGGTGGGACGCAGGCTGCCGTCACGGGGTGCATCCCGGGAGCTGGGCCTGCGCAGCACCCCGCCAGGGCTGGGAGAGCTTCGCTTGGCTGAGGTGTGATGCCTTTCGCAGGCTGGGTCTGTGAATCCCTCCCGGTCTTGTCTGCATGGTGGGAGAGGAGGTGGAGGACCCCCTCTGTGTACCAGACCAGGCAGCCATGTCCCCAGCACCAGGGGACACTCTGAGAGCTGCTACACTCGGAAAAGTGTTTGAGTTTCTCGGGTGGGGAGGGAGGGAGACCTGCGGGGAGGCATGCTGCTGCTGGCCGTGCCGCCGAGAGCAGTTTTAGGAAGAGCTTCCTCGGCCAGGCAGGATGCAGCTGGGCTGGCAGTGACTCAGAGTAGTTTTGCTTTAGACATCGATGACTTTGATGTTTTAATGGAAGGGCCATTAGGATGCTTGAGGCCCCGGGTTGTTTTTCTGACGGTGCCTGGGCTGGGACATGCATTGGATACAGGGACTGCAGCACCACAGGGTTGTGATGTTCAGGGTTTGTAAGCGTCTCCTTGAAGGGACTCCAGTCCTCAGGGGGTGACAGCCATCCCGAGGGGTGCAGGAGCCCTGGCCAGGATGGGGTCTGAGCAGGGTAGATGGCCATGGTGGCTGTGGGACCCAGCCAGGACGTGCAGATAGCTCCGCATGGATGGCTGTGTGATGGAGCTGGGAGACATAGTGTAGTGCAGCCTCCCACATCCCTCTGCATCCCCAGCCCTGCTCCAGCCTCCATCCCGGCAGCCTCTGGTCTCAGATGCAGAGGTAAAGCAGACCAAGATATTGGGTGTCACATTTAAACATTATGGGCTGCCCTGGCCGGGCTGTAGCAGTGGGTTGATGCCCTGCAGCTGCCTGCGAAGGAGGTGCCCGGTCACTGGCAGGGGGAATGGTGGCCTCGAAGTTGTCCCCTCCCTGGAGGGAGCTGCAGTGTGAGGGGGCAGCCCCTTCCCACGTGCCATTGCCTCCCGTCTCCCCGGCAGCCCCATTCACCCCGTGCTCATTGCAGGATCTCAGTCTGTGACGAGGACAAGTTCCGCCACAACGAGTTCATTGGGGAGACACGGATCCCACTGAAGAAACTGAAGCCGAACCAGACCAAAAACTTCAACATCTGCCTGGAGAAGCAGCTGCCGGTGAGTGGGGGGTTCAGAGCAGCGTCCCCCACTGTGGGCCTGTGGATACAGCAGCTTCTCCCTGCAGCACGTGGGAGCGTGGGGCAGTTTGACCCCTCAGACGTGATCGGGGATGGGGAGGTGGGAGTCCGGCCGTGGCTGTGTCCCAGAGCAGCCCCCGGACTGGGTGCGTTCCCTCCCCCAGATAGATAAAACAGAGGACAAGTCGCTGGAGGAGCGTGGCCGGATCCTCATCTCCCTCAAGTACAGCTCGCAGAAGCAGGGCCTGCTGGTGGGCATCATCCGCTGCGCCCACCTGGCCGCCATGGATGCCAACGGCTACTCCGACCCCTACGTCAAAACGTGAGTGCTGCTCCGCGGCCGGGCGAGACGCTGCCATTGCCGGCCCTTGGTGAAGCCGTGCTGTCCCCTTTTGTCCTGCTGCAGGAATTAATTGATCTCATTAGGAGATGCAAATGAGGGTGTCACGGCAGCAGCTTGCATTTGCCTGGGGCGTGTTATTCCCCGGCAATTATTTTACAGCACTTCAAAGTAACGTGGGTGCAGGATCTGTCCTGTGGCGTGTGGCCGTGCCCGCCCGATGGCAGCACATTGTCCCCATCGGTT